TCTGATTTACCAATTTTTTCATATGAGAGGAAAAATCTAAGTCATGCAACAGACATTTCCCTTCAGTTCTTGTTTGCTATTTACAAAAGCAGACTTCACCATGGTCACCGGGCCTGCATGTTGAGCAAAAAAGAACCATTTCCTATTTGAAACCTCATTATGTAACCAAAGAATAGCTGTGTGAGCTTGCTTGCCTCCCCAGAAGCATGGAGAGATTTTTTGTTGAGATAGGTTATATAGGATCAGAGCAGTCAGGATGGGGCTTGTTAAAGGGGTCTTGGTTCTGACAGTGTTGGCAAAATTCTAATCTCTGAGGTATTTCTGGAAGTCCAGCTGCTATTCATAATCTGGTGTGTGCAGTAAAAGAGAGCTGAGAATAGACAGTGAAGGAATAGTTCCTTTTAAAGTCTGTAAAAAAATCTAAAGATGAGACACGTAAATTCAGGATGAAAGAGGCCGCTCCACCACCGTCGCGAAAAGTAAATCACCGTAAACTATTGCAGCCAAAAAATGTTCAACGCAGGAAGCAATTTGGATTTGGATTAGTTGTATCATACCAAAAAAATGTGTCATGGCAAATTTATAAGCATTATTTAAAATGAGTGACTGCTCTGAAATATCTAACACTGAGAATGAACTCTGGCTATAAAGTGAGTTATTGAGATGGCCTCAAGAGCTCACAACTAAAGTCTTAAACTTGTTTGTATTTTAGCTTATGAAAATGCTATCGCTCTGCATGTTGTATGAGCTCTGATCAGATCATGTTTTTCTTAGCATCTTTTTGAAATTTCCTACAGCAATTTTCTTACCATCAGATTTGAATGCTGTTAGAACTGCCCATTTCCCTGTTTAAAAAGTTTTAGCAGAGGCTAAACATAGAGCAAAGATGAGGAAGTTTGAATTGCAAATTTATCACACAGTCAACTTGAGAATGTGACATCAGCGGCAGATACAGTGAAGAGGTTTGGAGCACTGACGACAACATAACGAGAATGTACGTATAAGCCTGCATTTCACTGAAACCTGGTCACCGTTAGACATTCTGGACTGAAATGCTTCTCCACACAGCTGGAAGGCAGACAGAGACTATAAAGTAGAGTGGTAACTTGAAAAGAGGAAGGATTGAGGTTGTTGTTGATAACAGGTAGTATAATCTTGGACATATCTATGAGCCTTGGCTGTTGGTTTCCGTCCAACGCAGTCAACAAAGACAGTTAACCTGTCACCTGCCGACCCCCCCAGCGACATGTTTAGCTCAAGTATGTCCAAGTCACAAACACAACTCTTCTGATGCATTTATTGGGACATCTGGAGATGATACTCTGGTGTTATTCTACCGATACGGACGGAGATAGATAGATAGATAGATAGATAGATAGATAGATAGATAGATAGA